AAAAACGACTCTATAGAAAGAAAGAAAAGCAACCATTCATGATTATGTACAACTATTCACAACTATTCGTGAAATAATATAAATACCCATCAAATTACGCATTTTTTTAATTTAAAATATAAAAAGATGAAAAAATATATATATTTTTTTAAATGTATACAAGAAATTATTGCACATTTGCATTAAACATATAATTTATAAGGTATGAAAATGATATCTTGGAATAGAAGCATGAAATATTTAGTGATGAAGAAAGGGACTATCATTATTTACCTTTATAGTAGAGTCAGCTAAGAAGGGCCATTATTATTCATTACACGTTGGGGATTGAAAAAAATAAAAATTAATAAGAAGGGTTATTATTATTATTATTATTATTAAAATTATTAATCCACAGGGCTGCCACATTGAATACAACGCGGTTTTTTGCAGCAGCTGACTTGGGGCATGCTGCTGCTGCTGTGCTTGTAATTTAATGCTTCTTGCTGTCACCTTTTGACTCTTTGCCTTCCCCTTTTTTCTCTCTTCTATTTAAGCTTCTAAACGCCATGGAAGTTTCAACCTTTGTAGAAGAAATTGGAAGGCTAAGGATATGGGGAGGCCTCCATGTTGTGATAAAAATGGTGTGAAGAAAGGACCTTGGACTCCTGAGGAGGATATTGTTTTGGTCTCTTATATTCAAGAACACGGCCCCGGAAATTGGAGGGCCGTTCCTGCTAATACAGGTTTGTTAATTCTCTTGTCAAAACAGACCAGGTCGGTTAGCTCGGTTAGCCGTGAGTTTGAGTTTGAGCTTGAGCTGTGTTTGTTAATTTTTGCAGGGTTGCTTAGATGTAGCAAGAGTTGTAGGCTACGATGGACGAATTACCTTAGACCGGGAATCAAACGGGGTAACTTCACTGATCAAGAAGAGAAGATGATTGTTCATCTTCAAGCCCTTTTGGGGAATAGGTATTAATAATTTTAAGTTGTTTGATGTATTTGTTACTCATGAGTTGATAATTTATGTAATTTATGTGATTTATGGTTGTTTAGATGGGCGGCTATAGCTTCGTATCTTCCGCAAAGAACAGACAACGATATAAAAAATTACTGGAACACGCATTTGAAAAAGAAGCTAAGGAAGGTTCAAGTGAGTTCAATGGGGCATTTTGGAGATGGGTTTTCATCATCTTCATCATCAATGCCAAGAGGACAATGGGAGAAGAGGCTTCAAACTGACATTAGAATGGCAAGACAAGCCTTATGGGAAGCTCTCACACCACAAAATTCAACTCCTTTTGCTGAAATAAAGCCTTCAGTACACCACAAAGTTCAAGCCACGGGCTATGCGTCAAGCACTGAGAATATAGCCAAATTGCTTACCGGGTGGATGAAAAATCCACCCAAGACTACGGCGGAGAGATGCCCAAATGGTGGTAACTCCGGCGGCGGAGCAGATGAATGTGAGGATAATATAGGGTCGTTTTTTAGATTTGAGTGTTTTGAAACGTCAAAATCTAATTCGGAGGAAATGAAGGCTGATCCTGATGTTCATGATTTGCCACTTTCTATGTTGGAAAAATGGCTTTTTGAGGAAAGTGGTGGAATTCTTCAAGGAAGAGAAGATCATTGCCTTGATGATATTGGATTCTAGAGGGACTATTTTTTCACATGTCCTTTAAATTTATTTAACTCATTCAGATTTCAGATCATAGTATAGAGAATGAATGTAAATTCCTTATTCATGTTCTTATTTACTTCATCAATCAATTTATCTCTTCTTTTAACTCTACACTTCAATTCCCATGCATGCTAATATTAGATCGATTGAGAAGTTAAATGATGTATTCTCGATTAAGAAGTTAAAAATTTGAATCGTTAACCCTACATGCATGTGTCTAGAAAAACGACAAAAGGGTTTGATTGTGTTCGAGTGTTTTACAGGTTGGAAAAGAAGTATAAATAAAGTACGTGCTGTAAAGGCATTGAAAAGAAGCATAAGGTCTCATGAGAATTGTTGCCAATTAAATGGGATTTAGAACACAGAGAAAAAGAGGTTGAGAATTTGTCGCATTTTCCAAGTTGGATATGCAACAACAAAACTTAGCCTTAAATTTCTTGCATTTTTTTCTTCTTCAATGAGCTGTTGCTAGCATGGACACCACAGGATTGTAAAACGCTCGAGTTGTTACTTTACGTTAAGATAAAATCAACAATCATGAGCGAGATATTATATTGAAGATTAAAATATTTTTCGTGGTCGAGATTTTTGAGTCACATGTCGCTCGTAGCTAATGAAGTATCATGTGAGGGGAGTTAATATTCTTTTGCATGTGAAGCTTGTAAAGATACAATGGGATGATGCCCTAGTTTGGGAATGAACTGTGATGGAGCTGATGGTAATTAGGGTTGAGCCTTAAAGATTCAAAATTATTGGTGATTGATACCAATATTTTGTTTATATTTGTGGTTGAGATGTTTGATATTTTGGAAAGAGGAACTCATGTGGGTGTTGGAGAAGGTCATTGTAAGGCCACCTCATGAGTCATTAACTGCACCATGTGGATTATGTAAAGACAAAACGCCAATTTGGGATTGCCAATTGACAACACACATCCACTAAACATTTCTGTCCAACACTTTGTTGACATAGGTAGTAACTTTCAATTCTTTTAAGATTTTTTAGTTATTCTATTATCATAATCGCTCCCATTTGCAATACAGTATCGATTCATTTATGTACCTTTTTTATTTGAGTGTCAGATGGTAAGATTTGTATATATTTGATAGTCAAATAATATGACCCGTTGATGTGTATACAATTGAGTGTAATAATATACATTGTGTTAAAGTTTCAACTGACATATCCTACATCATTGACATTGTTGTTCCTCACGATCTATGGATAAACATTACACATCTTCATGAATCGAGCATCGCTAGTAAATATTGTAATAATTCAAGTTTACCATTAGTAGATATTGTTCGCTTTAGTCTGTTATGTATCGCCGTCAGCTTCACAATTTTAAACGGCGAGAATTAAATAATTATAATGGAAAATCCATAGTGGGACAAAATGATGATGAAATGTTATTTATGTGGTCTATTTTAAATGATGTGATCATTTTACAAGTTAACAAAAAGTAGTAAATAATTAATAAACCTCAACATATGAAGATAAAATATTAAAAAAAATTAATAAACATGCCAAGCCATTACTCATTTACATCTGGCATCATAAATAAAAGGTGCATATCATCATATAACTTTGTTATGATTTGTTAAAAAACGTGTCACTCATTAATAAAATGTATATAGATGGATGTATGGATGATGTTTTTAATTAATACCCATGTTCCCAGCATTTTCGGACGACCTAGTCACGGTACTTATTCTGCATTTTTCTTTCTCCACTATTGACATGATTAAGTTTAGGGCAGAACACTGATAACATGTTAGAAGAACACGACTCTCCACAATGATATGATATTATCTACTTTGAACATAAGTTCTTATAACTTTGTTTTGCGCTTTCCCAAAAGGCCTTACACCAATATAATTATAAACCACGATCATTCACTAAATTAGCCAATATGGAACTTTCATCCAACACCCACAAACCAACAAGAGTCATTACAACATGTTTTGTCCTCACTCACGTGAGTCATAAGAAAATTTTGAAGAGGTCACCGAACATAAAATTGCTCAAACAAAATGACTTTCGATTCCTTGAAGCATTTTTTTAGTCACGTTTGTCTGAAAATCGCTCTCATTAAGATGAGGTCTTGGTTCATTTATGTATGTTTCTTTTATTCGGAGGGTTAATTGGACATGAATACCAGTAAATTTAGTGCTTGATAGGTGCAGTAAATATGAAGATAATTGATGAATGTGTAAAATGGTAAAGAAAGGGTTTTCAATTTGTAGACAGACATGGCGATGGAGCAACATATAGCAATGGTGTCATTCAAGGAAATATAGAGATGGGCCTACGTGTTGTATGGTGAAAAGAAGAAAAAGGGAATCTTTGCAAATTGGAGTAGCAGCTTAAAAAAGATGAACAAATTTTGATACGCATTGGACAGTGACAACAATGCTTTAAATCTAACCCTCTTCATACCATCATTACTCGCTTGCTTTGAATCAAAACATCTTGTGTTTATGTAATGTATTGGGAGATCATTATTTCCTTTGCTTTTTTGCATGATAACGTGTTGTTATTCTTTGTGCATGAACCAAAACTAAGTGATGAAGAAGGAATAGGAGTGGGTTGTAGTTTAGAATCAAGCCAACTGTCCATTTCCATGCAAAACCCATATCAAATTTCTTGCAAGAGGGGTGACATATTCGTCTTTCGAATTCACATCCACCCTTGTCGACAAACAATTTATTAGATATTGTCTACTTTGACCCGTTACATATCGCTGTCAGTTTCACGGTTTTAAAACGAATCTGTTGAAGAGAGGTTTCCACACTCTTATAAAAAAGATTCTCACACCACTTGAAGGTTAGTTCCTCATGGGTACCTCCAAAACTTCAAAACCTAACTTTGAATCACTTTCACTCCCCCAAACACTTCACATGGCAAAATTTATGCTCACGATCACACTTTTTCATATGAATCATTGTAACAGCCCCTAAGCTCACTGCTGGCAAATATTGTCTTATTTGGACTTTCCCTTCCGAGTTCCCCTTCAAAGTTTTAAAACGCGTCTGTTACGGAGAGATTTTCACTCCCTTAGAAGAAATGTTTCGTTCCCCTTTCCAACCGATGTGAAAACTCACCATCATCAACCAGTTTTTGTTTAAATTATGTTTGGAAGTTATGGTTCGTGTTCATTTAAATTTTAAAATTTGTAGATCTTTTGTTCCATAAAATCTAGCTATAGTGTATCATTGTATCATTGTAGCATTCTCTTTAATGCTTCAAATCTTGTCTAAGCAAATGGATAGCACCAGCCAACCAGAAAAGATAGCAACAACTTCTCTTCAATAGTGGGTTATGTGTTAATTGAAGCTTTAATCAACTTTTAAGTACATTGTTAAACAAAGTTTCCACTACAACAACCAACATGATTAGATGTGTGGGCCTTCCACATTGAATATTAAAGCAATATTACCAAACAAATTCTGCCATAAACACATAATTCAAATTAAAAGAGATATGATGGAAATAATTCACATAACTTTTAATCCTGAGATGAACAAGGAAAACAAAAGCAAAATACATAATCAAGCTCCATTTGAGGGAGATGAAGAACAATCACACACAACCTCAGTTCCTACTTGTCTTCTATGGAAGTTCCGGTGACAACCACAGGCAGCACAATTGAGTGCAGCGGTCGTCCCTTCGTCGCCGCTCGCCATGAATTCCCGACACCCGTCGACAGCATACCCTCCGACGCCAGCGGCATGGTTCTTTTGGCACTCCCCATATCTAACACTCCTTACTGTCAAAGATGAAGCCACGATGTCTCTTGAGCTTTCTTCCCTTCTAACTACAACTTGACGCTTCCTCATTTTTGGTAATGGGAGAGGAATATTTTTGTGTAAACTTATGAGAGAGCACAATTTTAAAAGCCATAACCCCCAAAACATAGAGTCAAAAGTTTTACGTTTTAAAAACAAAAACTTTTAGTGACATGTCATTTTCTCGTTCGTTGATTATATATTAAACTTTTCTTTCTCTCTGTTAATTGTTAATTGATTATATATTGTCTCCTCTTTATCAGCCTTATTTGGTAGGGAAAGGTTTCCACACAGTCGTGAAAAACGTTTGTTCCCTTCTCCAACTGATGTAAGGGAAAAAAAGATGCTCGTTTGGGTCAAGAACAGTTGCTCGAGATATCTCGAGGAGACATGTTTTTTGTTTTAAATTACGAACCAACAAGAATTCAAAAACAAAAGAGCCAAAGATTTGAAAATGAAGAACAATAATTCAAATGTAAATAAGGCAAAAAATTAAAGATGTTAAGAAAAGTTTTTGTTTCCACGTAGCTGATTGATTGGTTTAATATAGAATTGAACAGCTATGTAATAAGTTGGGTTTTGATCCTAATGTGTAATGTGGCCCCTAAATGAGTGTAAAAATGGGCAGGTTTTTTGTGGGGGCGTACTGCCGAAAATGATGCTCCACTTTGGCCTATGTACCCTCTCCTCCTCCCCCTCCTCCTCCGCAAACCAACCTTATTTCTTCCAACTGTTTGAGTTTGCTGCTCATTTTGAAAAGTTTTGATATCAACTTAGTAGAGGGGTGGATATATGGTAAGCTTTTGTCGAACATAGCCCAACAATTACGTTTTAGTGATGGTTTTTATATACTATACTTGGAAATGTACCTCAACATTCATTTATAATTCGTCCATTTAGACTATTAGATGGGTGAAAATTTCTATGTTGTTGAGGTATAAATGGTTAATGTTTAAAAGTTTTATATTGTCAAATATGGATATGTAATATATTTATCTACATTTATAACCTTCTACCTCAATTTTCAAAAAATGGTGTCGAGAAACGTAGAGTGTAATGTAATAGACAATATTATACCATTGTGAAGGTTCATAGTTATTAATATAGTATCAAAATCATGCTCTTAACTTATCTTCTGAAATTAACCGTCTCTTGTAGTACACCCCACCGACCAAACCATTTTTGATGCCATCACCCATTTATGTTTCCCAAAGCCTATTAACACATTGCCGAGGTGTGAAACCACTGTATAATATTTGATTCTCTTCCTTGGCCTTGAGGTTTTTCAAATCTAATAATTTAATTCTTTCTCGAAACTATTTAACTTAAAACATAAAGGTTGGGTTGGGTTGAATTTTTAAAATTATTGTGAAGATTAATAATATTTGATGTTTTTAACTAGTATTACCGATACATGGTGAATATTTGAAATTTGAATTTGATGACATTTTAGTTATTAATGTAACATATACGGTGAATAAGTACAATTTTTTTGAATAATTAAAAAAACTCGATAATCTAACAAAACCCAACCCATAATTAGAGAGTTGAGTTGTAAACTTTATTCGAGTTAGTTGATTACCGATTGAATTAATTCATAATTTCAAACCTAACTCAACTCAACTTGCATACACCCCGACTCGAATTTTAGCTAAGGCTAGAAGGGAATATTCCCAAATAATTAAATTCTAAAGACGAAGAAAGTGAAAAAATTAAAAAAAATCTAAAAAAATGAAGTGGGCCTATTGGGCCTTTTATTGGTTGGTTTTTTCTATAAAAACATTGGGCCATTTGTCTGCAAAATGACCGGCCCAGGCCCAATTCGTTTTCTCTGCAAAAGGTGTTAGTCGGAGCACCGAATTTACAAAAATGCCCTAATTTTGTGGTCCTTTTAATTGCATTAATGTCTCACTATTGTATTCTTACACATATGTTGGGTGTTTCTTCCACACCCTTCCATTTCAACCACTTCCTTAATTTTTCAAATTGGAAAAATTAAAAAAAAAAAAAAAATTCTCCAATAACCAAATATATATAAGGTAGGAGGTAGGTAAAATATTAATCCCCAATTATTTCCAACACCCAACTTTAAATAAATTCAAGTTTGACTAAGGAAAGGGAAATAATAATAATAAAAAAAAAAGATAAAAACTTTAGGGATGATATTAATATCGGACAATGATTTGCTTGCCCTAGGGCTCGATGATGCTAGACCCTCACCCATTTAGAATCCAATGAAAATAGACGGGTGTTTTTCTCCAAATGCCAAAACCACCCTTTATTAACCTTCTAAATCAAATATTGTATGTTTTGGCCGGTTACGTATCGTCGTCAACCTAACGTTTAAAACGGGTCTATTAGGGGGAGGTTTTCACACTCTTACAAGAATGGAAAGAATGTTTAGTTCCATTCTCGAAAGTTATCAAATCTCGCCCAAAAAAGTATTATTATTTTCTTGTTTTTCTATTCAGGTAATGATTATAAACGTGAGAAAGAAAAGGGTATTAGATTATGATGAAGAAATAAATCAAACAACATTATTCTAAACCCTTCTTTAAATGTAGATCATGTAGTAGCAAAGGCGGCGGCAGCAGCAGCAGGTACATCACTGAACCTTTGCACTTCGCTTCATTGAACAATAAACAATAATACCAAGTACCACCAATGATTGAAAATAGTAATATATATATAATTTAATTTAACTTAATTATAATTATCCCTTAATTAACGTAATCAGAATTTGGAAATGTGCACAAAATATAATATTCAGGCAATATTCTACTTTCTGCTGCTTTCTCCGAGACAGAAGATAAGGGGGAAATCTTTTGGTCTCTGTGATGAGACGTTAGATTCATGAAATTTACAGAAAAAGAGAAAAAAACATTAAACATTCGTTAACACCGAATTCAATGTGGAATTAATTAATGATTAATGCATTTAATCAATAATTTCATGTTATAATCCACTCCAAACAGGGTGGTCTTCTCATTAATTGATTCAATTAAACACTAAGCAAAAATGAAAATTTCAAAGGAAAAAAAAAAAAAAAAAAAAAAAAAACAGAGCTACCTAGCTTGGATTTCTATATCAGCTAATGATGAGGATGATGCAGTTTTATTCTTAATTACTTGTGAAACAGAGCAGTAAATCAAGAGGAAGAGGATGACCCATTTGAGCCAATATGCATATGCAAACCCGCATCTGCTCTGTCTTCGTTGTTGTTGACGGCGGCGGCGGCGGTGGCGGTGGGGGTGGTGGTAGTGGCGCCATTGGTGTCGGTCTTTTTTCCCATGGTGTTCTTGTTGTTATGCATCCATACTTTGAGAACCCCTCTTTCAATTCCAATTTCATTGCAGAAATCTCGAACCAAATCTTCGTCTCTCTTCTGCATTTTCCATCCAACTCGTTCCGCTAAATCCAACATTTTCTCCTTCTGTTCGTTGCTGAATTTTGTTCTGAATCGTTTCCGTCCATTTGGGCTCCGCTGTGCGTTTTCCGGCGGAGGACCGGACAGCCCAGCTGAAAGCGCCAATAACATATGTGGCGCGGATGGGTAATAGGACGACGAGATCGGCGGCGGCGACGCAGAATTCGGACTCCAATTGCCAGCCAAGGGTGGAGGAGGCGGGTGGTGGCGATGGTGCGGCTGATACTCAATCACATGAGTCGGCGCGGAATTAATCGCCAAAGTCGAGATTGGTTCCTCAGGGTCCCGACGGTGGAAATTCCGGTGACAGCCACACGCAGCGCACTTAAGCGAAGTGGGATCGGTAGGAGTGGCAGAAGGAGAGGGCATAAATTCCCCACATCCGTCTAAGGCATGAGCTCCTAAAGTGGCGGCGTGATTTTTGAGACATTCTTTGTAAGTAACAAGCGGAGGGTGTTGAGCATGGTGGCGCTTGAGAAGGCCGTTGGTGAAGGGCGGCGATTTAGCGGAAGGCGGCGGAATGGTTGTGGGAGTATTATCAGTGTCGGGGTCGGGGGATTTAGTGTTATTAGTAGTAGTGATGGGAGCTGCTGGGGCTAAATCCATGGCTCTCTCAAAAACACAGACCTCTCTAAACATGGAGAATTAAACAACAACAACAACAAGAACCACAACAAAGAAATAATAACTTAACCATTCTGTAAAAAAAAAAAAAGAAAAAAAGAAAATCAGAGCTTTTCTGTGGTGGAGCTTTGTTAACCCAATAGAATACTTGGGTTGTTTAACCCTGGTTAGTTATAATGTGTGGTTAGTTGCATGGGTAATAAATACGGGAGTGGGGAAGTAATTTTTAGTATATGTCCAACTTAATTTTAAATTTAATTTTGGGGGTTCTGATGAATTAATGAGTCGGGTCTCGTCGTCTGGGGATAATTATGAGTGGGTCAGGGGTGGGTTGACCCGGGGAATTTTTTTAAATTATTTTTTTTATTTTATTTATTTAAATTTAACTATAGCTGATGTCTGATGAAGGGAGGGAGGACCAGAGACAATACACTGCAACCCCATGTTATTTATTTTATTTTATTTTATTTTATTTTATTTTTATTGCCAACTTGCAGGAAGGACTGCACCGCTTTTAAAGTTACCTTTATAATAATAATTATTATTATTATTATTATTTGGTTTTTTGATATTGCCAGCCCTTCCCTTCAGTTTGGTTTTTTTGATATTGCCAGGTACTAGTGTAATGACGAAGTTGGTGCTGATGGATATGGTATTTGGGAGGGAGTGGGGAGGGTAGATTTGTCTTTCTAAAGAGTTGAATATTACGGCTGGAAGTGGAAGGTATTTATGTCGGCTTCAAAGGAATTTTAGGATGTTGAACCCATATTTTCTTTTCTTTTGAATTTATTATTCTCGTGCTAAACGACACCGCTTTGAGTTTCTCATTCTACCAAATATTATTAGTGTAGGATCAAACAATTTTAAATTTTGGAGTGAGGTTATTAAATAAACCACGTGGAATAAGTAATCAGTATTATTTATTATTATTATTATTATTATTTTAAATAAAAATAAAAATTGGGAAGGGTAGAAAAGGAAGGAAGGATGAAATATTAATAATTTGCATCGAAACTGTAAAACAAGCTTTTCCGTGCTTTCATTCTCACTCAATTATAGCTTTTTCTCCCAATAATGATCCACCACA